CGTTTTTTCCCGTTTTTCCCGTTTTTTGCCCCAAATCCCCCCCAGCCTGGCGCTGTTCAACACGCGCTTCCTGCGCCTCTGCGCCGACGCCGACCCCCGGGTGCGGCCCCTGGGCTACGCCCTGCGCCTCTGGGCGCGGGGGCAGCGGCTGGCAGGTGAGGGGGGGTCGGGACCCCTCCCCAAAATGGGCTGGGAGCTCCAAAAATGGGCCGAGACCCCCCCAAAAATGGGCCGGGATCTGCTGGGACACCCCCTCCCCACAGCGTGTTCTTGACCCGTGCGCCTCTGGGGGAGGGGGCAGCGGCTGGCAGGTGAGGGGGGGTCGGGACCCCTCCCCAAAATGGGATGGGAGACCCCCAAAAGAGGCTGGGACCCCCTGAAGGGTCTGGAGACCCCTCCTCCAAAAGGACTGAGACGCCCAAAAGGATCTGGAGACCCCTCCCAAAGGGACTGAGACCCCCAAAAAGGGTCTGGAGACCCCTCCCAACGAGACTGAGACCCCCAAAAAGGGGCAGGGACCCCTGCCAAAAGGACTGAGACCCCCAAAAAGGGGCAGGGACCCCTCCCAAAGGACCTGAGACACCCAAAAAGGGTCTGGAGACCCCCAAAAGGAACTGAGATCCCCCCCCCAAAGGCACTGAGACCCCCAAAAGGGGCGGGGACCCCCCAAATGGGGAAGGGACCCCTGCAAAGCCACCGGGGGAGGGCATTCACAGCCCCCACCCCACCACCAAGCTCCTCCAAGCAGCGAGGGGGAGTCGTGCCCAATTGAGGGGGGGGTCTCATCTCACTGGAGACCCCCGGCACGACCCTCCCCCCCGTTATTCCCGCAGGGAACCGGGCCGGGGGCGGCCCCCTCCTCACCAACTACGCGCTGACGCTGCTGCTGGTGCTGTTCCTGCAGAGCCGCAGCCCCCCGGTGCTGCCCTCCGTGCGCCGCCTCCGCCTCCTGGCAGGTGCCCAGACGCCCCCTCCCCTATTTCGGGAGTCCCCCTCCCCATTTTGGGGGTCGCTGACCCCTCCCCGTGTCGGTTGCAGGGCCCCAGGACCGTGCCCAGGTCGGGGGGTGGGATTGCAGCTTCCCCCGGGACGCGGCGGCGCTGGAGCCCAGCGGGAACAGCCAGAGCGCCGGTGAGGGGGGTTTGGGGGTCCCTGAATCCGGGGGGGCTCACATCC